CTCACAGCAACGAGCAGAGCGCCGGGTTGCTAAAGCACAGCAAGTTGGTACGGTAGGGGGCACAGGTGGTGCATCAGCCAGTCATCTCGGTCATCTCGGTCAGTCGACCCGTGGCACCTGCTGGGTCTGCCCCGTGACCTCCTGCCAGCGGGCGTTCGACACTTCACGTGGCCTCAAGGTGCACTTGGCCTGGCACAAGCGTCGTGGTGACGTCACCGCCACTTAGTGGCGAATGGCGGTTGTTGTTGCAAAGGTGTGTATGTGTAGGTGTGTAAGTGTAGAGGTGTGTGTGTGTAGGTGTGTGTAAGTGTATAGAGGTGTGTGTGTGTAGGTGTGTGTAAGTGTATAGAGGTGTGTGTAGGTGTGTGTGAGTGTATAGAGGTGTGTGTAGGTGTGTGTAAGTGTATAGAGGTGTGTGTGTAGGTGTAAGTGTATAGAGGTGTGTGTGTGTAGGTGTGTAAGTGTGTAGAGGTGTGTGTGTAGGTGTGTGTAAGTGTGTATAGGTGTGTGTGTGTAAGTGTACGGAGGTGTTCGGGGAGTAACCCTGGCAGCGTAACGCTGCTGGCGTCTCGTGCTGCCGCTTGTACCGCGCCTTGTCCACCAGAGGGCATCGCCTACCCACGGGTTGTGTGGCGTCAGGGTGAGAAGTGGAGGGTGGGGGGAGGGGTCCAGGGAAGAGGGGGGGGCTGCTGCTGCAGCGCTCAGCAAGGGGTCGTGCTTGGTGCACCACTGCCAATTCTTTATTGCATCGATCTATCTCATTCTTTGTCTCGGCTTTTATTTCCTTGCGCCCGAGTATGCACCGCTACTTGTGGTACCCTCTCTGTACTCATTGGAGAGCCACGTCCAAACCACTAAATCTTCTTGTTTCTTGTGTGAAGCCCTCTCCAATATTTTATTTGACTTCTGCAAAGGGCTGCTGCCATGACTGTGGAATGGTTGTCACGATTGACTTAAAATGTCGCGGTTCGATCTCCCAGCCTGGCCTTCAAAACATTGACCAGGATTCTTACAATTCCCTGTTTTTGTCCACCCACAGTGCATCGGTAGATCGCGTGCAGTAAGCTTAATGGCGAGTACTCTCACCTCTTTCAAGACGAATGGTCAGTGTGGAAAAGTTGGCCAAAACATACCCACCGGATCAGCACTCTAGACCTCCCTCTAGTGGGGGTTCTTTCACCAGCAGTTGCATGAGCAAGTAATTGCAGGGCTGCAGCATTAACCTCACGTGTACAACAATCATCTGGTTTCCGTGCATTTCAGAACTCCTTGATCCAGACCCCAGCATCCCAGTGCTGCAGGCTCAGTGCTCTGCATCGGTGTTACCATTGCGCCGTTGCATCTCTGCAACCACGTGCCACCCGTTGCCGCGTGTAACGTCGCTGCACCCTGTGCACCGCACGTGTCAACAGCCCCTGCCGCTGCTCCGCCGGGACACCGGCTTGATGCTGACGATGTCTCAGGAGCAGGCCGCCTGCCTCCTGGCCAACGCCTTCTTCTGCACGTTCCCCCGGAGCAACGCCACCGGGACCCGGAGCGAGGACTCTGCCTGCCCCGACATCAACGTCAACAGGTGCAGCAGCAGCAGCCCATCACTGTGCATTACACACTGTACACCGTGTGTCATGCAGTACACACACACAGATGCCATGCTCTCTCTATGTAGAGTATTTCTTGCTGTATATGTAGCGTCGGAAATGCAAAGCACACACCACACTGTATGCTTACCTGTAGTTGCAGGCACGAGTCTGCAGGGGGTGCCACCCTGAGTTAGAGAGAGAACCGGGACCGTTGAGAGGCCGAGTCCCCCCCCCCCCCGACCCCAGGTGAGGGGTTGGGGGGTTATTCCAGAGCCACCTGGAAGGTTCCAGAAAGGGGGCAGTACCGGGGGTGGAGAGTCCCCGAGGTGGGTAAAAAAGACGGACCCCAGGACGGCCCGAGGCAGTGCTCTGAAGACGAAGAATGAAGACCGGCTAGGCAAGGACCCTGGGACCCTGGGACCCGGGACCCGACGTCCTTTAATGGGCCGGGGCCGAGCACGGACCAGTGGTCGAGACCCGCACCTTGGCTGGGTCGGGTCAGCATAGCCTCCCCTAGGCCACCCTTAGTCGGAGGACTCAGAGCCCGTAGCCCCAGTGATAGGGCACGTTAGCCCGGAGGCCATACCTCCCCAAGTAGTGGGAGTAAAAGGGGCTTCTGTTATAAGATTTAAATAAACCGTGTTGCCTCTAAGCTACGTCTCCAGTCTCCGTGGGAACCCACTACATATACACAAGAAATGCTGTTCTACACATAACGGCCATGCCATGTTTCAGTTCAAAGTAACGCTGCAGTACGTGCACAGGCTATGCTCCTTTACACATACTCTGTATTATACGGCACACACTTTCATGGTGCTGTGTACACGGTATATGATGCGTTACACATAGGCCATGCTGTATTATAAACTCCGTTCAAAGTATCAGTTTATCCGTAGCCAATGCCACTGTACAAAGACAAAAATCCCCCTCATAGCCTTAACAGATTTTTGAGGCAAGTGGTGTTAGTGAGCACCTAATGAGGACTGGCACAGTACACAGAGGAGTGGGTGGCCAACACCATGCCCAGCCGCATTTGTCTCCCTCGTGGTGATGTGTACACACTGCATCAGGTACTCATTTGAGGTTGAGTCGACCATGGGGAGGCCCAGGACCGGTTCAGATATTTCCCACTGTTATACCGGTAGGAACAACAGGTTCCACACTGCCCACCAGGGATTATTTGTCTGTCGTGCATATGGGGAGGGGAGGGTGGGGGTGAGAGGGGTGGGGCTGGGTGGAGAGGGGAGGGTGGGGAGGGGCTGGGGGAGGGGAGGGTGGGGAGGGGCTGGGGGAGGAGGGGAGGGGCTGGATGGGGAGGGTGGGGCTGGGTGGGGGGTGGGAGGGGTGGGGCTGGGTGGGGAGGGGCTGGTCACCCCGTGGTGCCCTTATAAAACTCAACGTTTAACCTACACACTACACTATACACGACACGATAAACTACACCAGGGGTCCTCAAACTACGGCCCGCGGGCCACATGCGGCCCACCGAGGACATTTATCCGGCCCATGGTCACTAATTGGGCTGCGGTGGTGGGCACTCATTGGGCTGCGGTGGCGAGCACTGATTTGGCTGCGCTGGCGAGCACTGATTGAGCTGCGGCGGTGAGCACTGATTGAGCTGCGGCGGTGGGCACTCATTGGGCTGCGCTGGTGAATGGTTCAATGGGCCAATTGACTGGACTTGCCCCCCAGGCCTAAGGCTGCCAGCCCTCCCCTGGCTGTACTTGACTGGCTCTCCCTCCCTCAGCTCACTCACTTGCCCCTCGGCTCCACTCCCAGTGATATTCCTGTGTGCTGAGTAAATGATAGAGGGGTAATAACAGAGTGATCTCTGATCTCTGGAGGGGCTGCCTGCTGTTTTCCCGTGCTGGTCAGTGACAGACAGCCGAGGAGTAGGAAACCCAATTTAAATGACAGTAAGTGCATTTATATTCTGATTGCTATTCAGTTGTATGAGGTTATATGTTGTATGTTGTGTAAGCCCCGGTTCATACTGTTGCGATCTCTGAGCAGTGCGAGTTCAGCCATATGCTTGTATGGCTGAACTTGCATTAGATTCGGAAGAAAAAAGGCACATGTGCCTTCTTTTTTCCTGCAGTGGAATCGGATCGCATGGGTCTTCTCCCCCATGCGATCAGATTCCTATGCGAGTTCGCAGATCGCACTGCGATCTGTGAACAAAACTGCAGGTGTAATTAACTTTTTAATGGCACCCGCACCAGTGTGAGCCTGGGGTAAAAGCGGAGTTCCCCCAATCAGACAGCATTGATGGGCAGTGCAGTCTGTATGTCTCTGTGTGGGCAAAGTTATTGCTGGTATATTGTTTTTGTAGCGCTGTATATGTATATTGGTATTTTACTAATAGCAATTTTGACTCCCTTGGAAACAATGATGTCAAGAAAGAGAAAAATTGACTCGGAGTGTAGGATATTCAAAGAACAGTGGACTTATGATTACTTTTTCATGCAGTACAAGGAAAGAGCTGTGTGTCTGATATGCCAGAACATAGTGTCTGTGTTCAAAGAATACAATTTACGTGGACACTATGAAACTCAACATAAAGATAAATATGATTGGTCGGAGAAGTGAAAAAAGATAAAATATTAAAACTGAAAAATACACACTACAATGACAATAGTTTAAAGTTTAAACTATTGTCATTGTAGTGTGTATTTAATGTGGCGCTGCACTCTGATGTTGTAGGAGAAAACATTTATTAAAAAGTCTATTTAATTAAGTAGAACGTGTTGTCTATATTTATTTAAAGTTGCGCATTTTGATGTGACGTCACATTTATCACCCCCCCCCCCCCCCAATCGTCACACATGTCTGACCCCCCCCCCCCAGGTGCGTGACGTCATTTATGGACGGCCCCCGAGTCCCCTGCCTCTGAGAGTTCCCAGCGGCTTGAACAAAAAACCTTCAACCTCGACAGACAACGCGAGACCACTACCACCTCTGCCACTTGCCTCCTGTCAGCACTGTACTGGCCTGCGTGCTGAACTTCTTCCGCACCGTACGTAGCTAATCCGAGGTGCTAATTTAGGATCCCTCTCCAACTTCCACCTCTTCGCTGCCCCCCCCCCCTAGGGCAGACGTTGACAGCGGGCACGGGCTACGGAGCATGGATCCCGTGCAGGAGAAATGTCGAATGTGCGTGGGGAGCGTCAGCGCAGCACGCGGACACGGCGAGTCCAAGGTGCACGCACACCACAGGCGGCGCAGGCGAGACCCCAGCAAGTCTGGACTTGCGCGAGAAAAATAATAAAATGATCATCTAAATCACTCAACACGGATTGGTTAACGCTTGTCACTGATAATCCAGAGTGACGCCTCACGTGTCGCTTGTTGTTGTGTTTGTTACCCGGGCATGGCAGCTGCGCGTATTGTGCGTCGTGTTGTGTGTGTTAGTCTGTAAGTTCGTTGTGAATGTTGTGGATTTGCTCTCCAGCACACAACCGATTAGTGCTGTGCTCGTCACGAATTGGCCACGTTCTGTTTACGTGACAAACCCCTTCCTAGTTGGCTGTGTCGGGTGGTTTAACGACACATTTATATTTACGCGATTTAACCCAAAACACGTCTAGTATGTAACTGTGTCTGTATGTTGTATGTATCTGTGTATGTATCTATGTACCAGTGTATGTATGTTGTATGTATATTGTATGTATGTAACTGTGTGTAACTATGTATGTTGTATGTATGTATCTGTGTATGTATCTGTGTGCGTAAGTTGAACTTCTTCCGCACCGTACGTGGCCACGCGTGGTGATCGCGGGCGAGGCCGAGCGACGCGAGAGGGGTGAGGGGGGGGCAGCTGCGGGTCGCCCCCCCCGCGCCCTGGGGGCTCCGTCACCGCCACCGCCGCCCTGGGGGCTCCGCGCGGGGGCGCCAGGAGGAGGAGGCGCCGCGTGATGCACAAGTCGCCGCGTGGCCCCGCGGTGAGCGCCGGGAAGGGCCGTCACCTGACAGTGGCGCCTACGCACGAACCTCCAGCTCACCAGGGGCCATGTCACCGCCGTCTCTCGCCTCCACCGCCTCCACCGCCGCCGCCGATATATACGCGGCAGTGACGAGTCAGACCGCGGCAGTCATCGCAAGGGACGATTCGGACATCCCCCACGCGAGCTCGGCACGAGATCCGTCTTCGTCGTGGTCATCCTGCACGTGGTGCCGAGGGGCTGCTGCTGCTGCTGCTGGGAGCGCGTCGCGTGCAGGTGCCCGCGTGAGCTCGCCCGGGGGGAGTTGTCGGCACGACGACCCGAGCCGCAGCCCGAGCCGAGCGGTGACAATGGGTCTCCTTGCGTCGCGAGTGGCGTCGCTGCTGGACGGAATGTTCACTCAGCAAGCGCGCGTGCTGCTGCTGGGTTTGGACGCGGCCGGGAAAACCAGCATCCTGTACAAGCTCAAGCTCGACGAATCCGTGGTGACCATCCCGACCATCGGCTTCAACGTGGAGACCGTGCAGCCCATCAGGAACGTCACCTTCACCGTGTGGGACGTGGGCGGCCAGCAGAAGATCCGCGCTCTCTGGAGGCACTACTTCCAGAACACGGACGGGCTCCTCTTCGTGCTGGACAGCGCGGACCGGGAGCACTTCCCGGAGGCTCTCAAGGAGCTGGACGCCATCCTGGACAGCCCCGAGATGACGCGGGTGCCCTTCGTGCTCCTCGCCAACAAGCAGGACCTCCCGCGGGCAGCGGCCACCGCGGAGGTGGCGGAGGCGATGAAGGCGGTGAAGACGCGGCACGGGCGCGAGTGGCTGGTGCAGGGCTGCTGCGCCCGCACCGGAGAGGGCCTCCTGGAGGGCGTGGGGCAGCTCTCCCGCTTCATCAGCAACTCCAGAGCCTCCTCGGGGACAAAGTGAGCTCGGCAGCAGCAGCAGCAGCAGCGGCGGCGGTGTCACTCCAAGGCGGCGTCTCTCGTGCACGTGGGGGGGGGGGGGGGGGGGGCTTCGAGTTGTGTCCACTGGTCGAAACTTCACTCGAGCGAACGCCGTCATTCAAACCAACAGCTCGCTGTGTGTGCCTCTGCATGTGTGGATGTCTCTTGGTGTGCTGTTGCTCTGGTTGTCCCTCTGGGCTGCCCAGAAATATCTTTCCATGTGTGTCTTCTCTGTGTATGTACCTCGTGTCTGTTCACGAGTCCCTGTCCTCTGTTTTTACGTTGGCATGTTCAGCCCAGATGATGAACACGAGAGATGTATCAGTCTTTTGAAATACGTGGTCAACCAGGTGAGTGTCTAACTGTGTTGTTGGCCGACTGGTTTGCATCACGTGATTGTTTCTAAGGTCTGTTGAGTTTCTCGTCTCCCATCTTCTTGTTGCATTTGCTTACGTGTAGTTCGCCGTTCTCTATGTGCTATGTACGTGATGTCCCCCTGTGTGTTCCCTCTTTCTATGTTTCACCCCATTTTCACCTGATGATGAGCGCTTGTGTTGCGTTCGAAACGTCGTGATTTATTTAAATTTAATTTATTTAAATTTTATTTTATTTCTACATACGTGTCTTTACCGGAAAAAAAACAATGAGTAAAACAGCTTGTTGTGAAAGACCCAATGCAGAAGATCGCTGGGTTTGGTCTTCCACGAAGCTGCTCACGGTCCACCCTAAACCGCAACCACTGCACAAAACACGGCAGTAGATGCGGATACCCTGATGCACAAACGTTAAATTAGAAACTCTCCAGGAGCCTGCGACTGTGGCCATCCAGAACAGACCGTGCAACGTGTAACGGCGCAATGCCCGGTCCACAAACACGACGGAGACGTCACAGCGAGACACTCACTACCACTGCTTCTCACGCGGTGATCTTGGCTTGCCCACCTGGATGTGACTTCATAATCGTCTGCTGTGCACCTGCATCAGCAGCCACACGAACGAAGCAGCAGCAGAAGAAGAGAACGCGGTCGCGTCCACGTGCACGCGCCACGCGACTGCGCGTGCCTCTCGCTGCGAGTGAACCTCCGCATCGTCGTCAACTGCGGACTGCAGGTTCACATTCGACGTCGGCTGTCGCTCTGTGATTCCACACTGGGGGGCAAACGCCTCCCCCGAGTTGATTCCGTTGCGCGCTTTCCTTGCAGCCGTCGCGTCGCGGCCTCCGGATGCTTTGGGTTCATCTCGCCATCTCTATGGGTCAACTTTGACCGCTCGTGGTTTAGATATATATATGTGAATGGCATCTGTAAATTAAAAGCGGCACAATCTCTGCAAGTTCTTTTTCATTGAAGGCACTTTAATGGCTCGTCTCATTTTCAGAAATACTTTTATAGACCAATAACATTTCCGAACATCTGGAGATAATTGTAGGATATATTTTTCCCGTCTGTCATACAATGAGATTGTTTGACCCTAATGGTTAAATTCATCAACTTACTCAATTTCCGTGCCCTTTGCGTTCACATGTTCTCTTAAACTGTCGTCAATTTACTTGTTTCTGGCTTTGCACTGCTCCATAAAATCTGTAATAAATTTTGAAACCTATTTTCGTGATAAATAATAAACTAGACAATGTAATCAGCGCAATGTAAATGTTTTAAATGTTTATGGTTCATATTCTCATAGATTTCGTTACCCCGATGGTGATACGGGCGTTACCTTCACTGTTCGTGTCCTTCAGAGTGACAGATCGTTTACACTCCTCGTTGTCTTACACTCGCTAACTATGGATGGTGTACAGGACATGTAATGGAATGCCTTGTGGTATAAATCTATGACAGCTTGATCAATGTATTTGCCGTACGCATTGTACTTGTCTGTTATTTGATTGAAGGTGGCCTGATGTTGATAATGATTTCATGAATTCTGTTTTCTTCGTCGGTTTGTTGTTGTCTAATGTATCACATTTTTAGTGGATAATGTTGATGAATATTTTGTAGATGCACGAACCGAGGCTGATAGTCATATGATTATTAAGATCCAATCGTCACGTTTGTGCAATAAATAGTTTGGGATCAGACAGTGTCGTTACCGTTAAATGTTCTCGGATTGTGCGACCTGATTTACATCTTGCTTCAAGCAGTTCTTCTTGACTCGAGTTTAAGATTGTTGCCCAAGTTTTCATCTTCGGACGATCGCACGATTTAACGTGCCTAATAACGATGTAAAAGTATCCCTAGACGCAGCTGATGATACAACTACTGGCTCCACAGAAGCAAATGAAACGTGTTACTGCATTTTAGAGCCTTAACATTCACCACTTATCATCAGCGCCTCCAGCCTGCCACTGTCGAAGATATGGGGATGAGGCACCAGTAGCCGTCCTGCAAACCTCAAGGGTCAGAATCAGAACCTTTATTCATACCGGAGGAATCCGATGAGCTATAAAACTCTTTTTCACAGGTGTACAGTAGGGACACGGGGTCAGAACGTTACAACAAACAATACAAAAACACGAAAGGAGTGGAAAAGATAGGAAAGAGGAAAAAATATATTTAAACATAAATATACAAATAAAACTAAACGTGTGTTTTTATTTTCCAGATAAGGCCCACTGAACTATATATATTCTTTTTAAGAAGCGACCCGGCCACAAATTTTAGCTCAACGAAGCGGCTTATCACGTGGAAATTTATAATAGCAAAGTAATATAAATAATCTAAACGCTTGAAAGTTGATTCTAAATGTGGAGTGAATCCCGGAGGACAATCCACAAGACCACGGGGAGAGAGAGAGACATTCACACTCCAACTATACAACAAACGTCAGGGTGAGGATCGAACCCAAGCCCTCCTGTATACCAGGCGAGGTAGTTAACATCTCGCCACCGTGGCGCTGTCCACACACGGCAGGCCGAGTCCAGTGACTCTGCAAGAAAGAGACGTCACCATCTGCGGGTCACCCAATGTGTGTTGCCGGAGCAAGGTCTCCTCGCTCTCGGGAGTCCAATGGGGTCTGTCACCTATCCTGAAGCCTCACATATCAGAACGACCGCGAACTGTTCTACATTGTGCAGTGTTTGTGGGATCTGAAGAAGGTGGTTGCGATGGTGACGGTGAAACCACTCCGGTTCTCGTCGTCTTGCTGTAGGGTTCAACATCAGGGAATCCGCCATCTCATTTCAGTTTCTGCCGCAACAGCCCCGGCTCGTTCTGTGATCTTTACCCGTCAGAATGACTGCGATTCCCTTCGTTTTGGTCTCCCTGCCTCTGCCCTCACTCCCCTGCAACAAATTCAAAAGGCTTCAGTTGATTATCTTAATTCTCACACTTCCCCTCTCCACTGGCTTCCCGTTCACTCCACCGCTGTATTTTCAAATACCTCACGCTCGACTTTAAATCTCTTCATGGCCTTGTCCCACCTCATCTCGCCTCTCTCATCTTCCATAAACCTCCTCGCATCCTCTTCGTTCCCTTTCTTCTCTCTATCTCTATCCCTCCTCCCTGGCCCAATTCCGTTTTCAATTCTTCTCCCTCATTGCACATCTCCACTGGAAAAGAAGTCCTCTACATTGAGCAGCCCTGCTACCCCAAGTCTCAACACTGCCTATAGACTCAACATTGCCCACAGACTCAACACTGCCCACAGACTCAACACTGCCCATAGACTCAACATTGCCCACAGACTCAACATTGCCTATTGACTCAACACTGCCCATAGACTTATCACTGCCCGTAGAATCAACATTGCACCATAGACTCAACACTGCTCATAGACTCAACATTGCCCACAGACTCAACACTGCCTATAGACTGATCACTACCCGTAGAATCAACATTGCACCATAGACTCAACACTGCCCATAGACTTTCGCGACCAATGTTATTAATAATCAACGTTTTTGGGTTTAGATCGCGTTTATTTATAAATGTGTCGTAACCCTCCACCACCCGACACGGCCAATCAGTAAAAATGTGTCACGTTGACAAAGACAAATAGTTCACTGCTTTAGCCCACCGGTGTGTTGAAGCCACAACATTTACAATTTGAGTACGACGTTTCGCTGGTAATTGCAACCAGCATCATCGGGCAATTCGCCAGAATGGTTCTGGCGAACATTGCCCACAGACTCAACACTGCCCATAGACTCAACACTGCCTATAGACTCAACACTGCCCATAGACTGATCACTGCCCGTAGACTCAACATTGCACCATAGACTCAACACTGCCCATAGACTCAACATTGCCCACAGACTCAACACTGCCTATAGACTCAACACTGCCCATAGACTGATCACTGCCCATAGACTCAACATTGCACCACAGACTCAACACTGCCCACAGACTCAACACTGCCCACAGACTCAACACTGCCTATAGACTCAACACTGCCCATAGACTGATCACTGCCCGTAGCCTCAGCATTGCACCATAGACTCAACACTGCCCATAGACTCAACACTGCCCATAGATTTCGATTTAAAGCTTTCGTGACTGCAGGGATTCATCTTCTTGGTTCTTTCGGTAAAGTCACGTAGAAGGGAAGTAATAAAATAATAAAAATAAAACATAATAAAATAAAATAATTCTCACGACGTTTCGGCTACAACGCAAGCAGCCGTCTTCAGGTGAAGAATGAGACACTACCAAGCTAGGAGCTTATATATAAGCTGCGTTGGAGGTGGAAGAGCGCCTTAACAAAAAGAATGTGCATATGAAGAGGAATTTAGCATATTCATGGAAAATGCGTAGGAGGTGGGCGGGGGGGTTTCAAAGTCATATTATGCCCATGCATTATGCAGGATCAGCAGCACCAAAGGGGGGTGCAGGGAGTAGCAGTAACAAAGGAAAGGAATGTTAATGATATGTAGCTGCAGTTACTCAACAACCACGTAGAAAACTAAAGTATAAACTACATAAAAAACTAAAGTATAAACTGCATAGCACCATCAGTATACTTACTATACTCTACAATAAGCTGAGT